GGGTATGAGGAACAAACTATTTATAGGAGCTTAAACCCTCTTCCCTGGGAAATAAATCACGATTAATTGGTGAGATAATTACTCCGTAATAAACATAATTATCTCTCAATTATTTTTTATGAATTATCTTCATTGTATTTATTTATTATGGAAATAATACTAGAGAATTAATTTGAAATGTTTCCAATAAGTATAGTCTCAGGTCGACCAACCAATCCACCTGCTCGCTCAACCAACCGGCCAGTCAGACGGATGAACTAATGGTGCGTGTGTGTTTGGTATAGTGGTCCTTTAAATCCTCACTCTCTCACAAAAATTGGTCCCAAGGGGGTAACTTAAGGAAAGAGATCTACTAACTACACCTTCAACATATGATCGCCTACCAAAATGGTAGTTTATATTGAGACTTCTCATATAGATTTCAAATTTATTCATGCCCAACACTACCTAGTCATGGAAGACATAGGAGGAAGTCGGAAGGTAATTAGGAATTCGATGATTGTATAAGGAAGATGACGCGATCAGGGAAAGGGCTGGATTGGATTCTACATAAGGTTTCTCACATAGAGATGAAAATTAATGGTGGTCTGTGAATAGGGGCAGAGCCAAGGGGGATTGGGGGTGTCCCGGGGCACCCCTAATTTTTGGGAAAATAATTATCCAATTACGGTAGTACTTTGTGTATGAGTAAAAGAAAAATATATAAATGGTAGATTAGGTGATTTGAATCTATAACACTATTATAATAGGTAAACATATTTTCCATTAAGATATAACCCATTTGTTGTTGTACTTTAAACACAAATCTAATAGTAAATTGTTATTCTTTCCGCAATTATTTTCAAAATTTGACAATTAAGCCCAATTAAAGGGTACCCTTATTTCCTCAATTCTATCATATCCATTGGTATATTTGCTTCTCAAAATTATTGATTTTACTAATTACAACTGCAAGTGTTGAAATATCATTTTCAGCTTTGGTATATTTTAAGAACAAGTTTCAGAATTGAATAAACGATCAGTTTGTGAATGAATTTATTGTAAGATAGAGAGATGTGTTAAGCCGTGTAGACACCGAACGTATTTTACAAAAATTTTCAGAATATGAAAACACGTAGTAGATTTTTGGTGCAACTTGTACTAATTGTATATTTTCTTATTTAATAATTAATAATTTAATTTTTTTTAAAGGACGCTCCTATACAAAATTTCTACCTCCGCCACCTGAGTTGAGAAATGAGAATTTTTTTTGGAAGTAATCGTGGTGGGTCATCGCCAATACCCATGTTTGCTTTGTTTTTTAACGGATAATTGGCCCTTCTCCGCGACTATAATTCAATTGCAACCTAGTACAACAACAACAAAAAATATATTTCTAAGTCACTCTAAATTCTTATCGTGGCGGCCAGAGCAGAAGTCCCTGCCAAAACCCTTTAAGTATTTTGAACTGTGGGCAGGGCATCCTGATTTCCATCGTATTGTGGAAGAAGGTTGGGCTACACAGGCTAGTGGGGATAAATTCCAGGTAATCAAGGCCAAGCTTAATGCTGTTAAGAAGGGGTTGAGGAAGTTGAACAGGGAGGTCTTCAGTGATATTAGCGGTCAAGTGAAAGACATTGAAGGGCAGTTACTTGCTGCACAAGAAATGTCTCTCTCTAATCCTACTAGTACTCTCTTTGCGGTGGTTGAGGATCTCAGCTCTAAGCTTGCTAAATTGAAGAAGGATGAGGAGAGTTTTTACTGGCAGAAAGCAAGGGTTACTCATTTGAAGTTGGGGGATCAAGGTACACGCTATTTCCATCAATCAGTGAAGATCAAAACGGCCAAGAGGGCTATCCGAAAACTCGTTTTGGATGGGGGTGAAGAGGTAGTGATGATGGAGGATATTGCAAAAGAGGCAGTGAACTTTTACAAGAATCTTTTTGGATTTGTTGATCCGGATGTACATCCTAGTAAGCAAGTATTGGAGGATCTGGTTTTGCATCGGTTGAGTGAGGAACAGAGAAGCTTTTTATGTCAGGATTTTCTGGCTGATGATGTACGACAGGTGGTTGCTGGCATGAGCTCTCATAGGGCCCCTGGCCCTGACGGTTTTCTGCTGGTTTCTTCAAGAGAACCTGGGGGATAATTGGGGATGATATCACTGCGGGGATACTGGACTTCTTCACTTCTGGTAAGCTCCCTAGTAGTGTTAATTCCACAGCAGTGTCGCTAATTCCTAAGGTAGCCTCAGCATGTAGACTTAAGGAGTTTCGCCCAATATCATGTGTCAATATACTCTACAAGATTATAGCTAAGTTACTGGCCAATCGGTTGAAGAAGGTATTAGCTAGTGTCGTTAGTGGTAATCAGTCTGCGTTTATAGAAGGACGAAGGATTGTTGACAACATATTAATGGCACAGGAACTGGTAAGTGGTTATCACAAATTTTCACTCTCCTCTCGTTGTGCTATTAAGGTGGACCTTATGAAGGCCTTTGACTCAGTTCATTGGGGCTATCTTTTTCTTATGATGGAAGTCATGGGGTTTCCCTCGAAGTTTATATACTGGATTAGGCTTTGTGTCAAGACTGCTAAGTTCAGTATAAATGTGAATGGTGGCCTCTGTGGCTTCTTTGGTGCACAGAGGGGGGTGAGACAGGGTGATCCCCTCTCACCTTACCTTTTTACAATCGCCATGGAAGGGCTATCCCTTCTCCTGAATCGAGCTGCTGCAGAGGGTAAGCTTGCCTTTCATCCTCAGTGCAAGAAGGTCGGCTTAACACATTTGTGTTTCGCCGATGATTTACTTATTTTTACAGAAGGATCTGGCCAGGCTATCCAGACAGTTCAGGGGGTTTTATGAGAGTTTCATACCTTGTCAGGGCTGCGGTGTAATCCTGGGAAGTGCGAGGTATATTTTGGGGGGAAGTCGGTGCAATTTAAGGAGATAGCCTTGAGGGTTTCAGGGTTTGCTGAGGGGATCTTACCGGTCAGATACCTGGGAGTCCCTCTCCTTTCTGGGAAGCTGCCTGCTAGTGAAACAGAGAAGTTAGTAGGAATAATAACAAAGAAAGTCCAGTCTTGGCGTGCCAAGAAACTTAGTTATGCAGGGCGGTTGCAGTTGATTACGTCAGTATTAATGGGGACACTTCAGTACTGGATGCAGGTGTTTATATTGCCCAAGAAAGTGATTAAGCAAGTTCAGCTTGTATGCTCACAGTTTCTCTGGCATGGGGGAGAAGAAGGTCGTGCTAAGGTTAGTTGGGATCGAATGGCTAGGCCTCGTATGGAGGGAGGATTGGGGCTTCGTGATTTATGTGCTTGGAATAAGGCATGTACTATTAGGTTTCTCTGGCTGTTCTTGATGCAGAGTGGGGCAATTTGGGTGGCGTGGTTTCAGCAGTACAAAGTCAAGGACCGTTGTCTTTGGACAGTTTCTGATTGTCCAAGCAGCTCCTGGGCTTGGCGGAGGATTCTTAAATTGCGACCCATTGTTCAACCTTTAATGATGATGCACAATACTCAGATCATGTGGAATCATAAACCTATGCCTGTCTACAAGGTTTCTACCGTTTGGGACACCTTGAGAGTGAAGTTTGAGAAGGTTTGTTGGGCCAAGCTAATCTGGGGGAAACATTCAGTTCCTCGCAACAGCTTTATTGCTTGGATGATTATGTTAGATGCTGTGGTTACTAAGAAGAAGCTGCTGACTTGGGGAAAAGCGACAGATGGTTTGTGTGTTTTCTGTGGCATTGAGGTTGAGACTCGTGAGCATTTGTTTTTCAAGTGTGTATTTTCTCAACAGGTCGTTCGAGCTGTGCAAATGGGCCTATTCTGCTGCGACTCCTGGGAGGCAACAGTGGCTGCTGCTGTTGCTGGATGTAAAAGGCCAATTGTGGGGAGAATTACTGGTTTGCTTTGGTGCCTCTGTTGTGCAGGAATCTGGCGAGAACGATGTCGACGCTTGTATGGCACTGACAGTAAGCGAGTGGATGTATTGATTCGAGACATCATCTGGGATTTGAGGATTATGTGTGAAGATAGTGCTGGTCTTACTGAAGGATTGGTGAAGCTTGATCTACAGGGGAGTTAGGTGTGGGCTCTAGTTGAGTGAGTGTTCTGGACTGGTAGTTGTCAAGTAGAGCGTTATTTTGTTTGACTTTTGGGGCTGCTCTCATTGAGCTTTCCTTCGTTGTATTGGTCGGGTCATTTGTATCTCGCAATTGACTATCCTTTTTTGCAAGCAATAAAAAGGGGGAACTGATTCAACGAAAAAAAAAAAAAAGAAAAAAAAAATCTTATCGTGGGCTAGCTCATCCAATCACTGAAAACGCGGTCAACCGATAAAGGTGAGATGAAGCAAGTCACCCTGGCTACCATCAATGCATTTACATATTTTTCCTGGCGACTAGTGGACCTTTTAGATGTGTAGCAGCAAAGTCCTTTTTTCTTGAAAATATATACAATATCATGACCACTTGACCAGCCATTCTGTGTGCATGCACCGCACCGACTCTGCCACCCGTACGTCATGATCAGTTGTGAATAGTAAATGGCGAAGTTGCTAACAACATCTATTCTACGCCGCTCGTTCAACTGTACCAATGGAAACATACATTGGCCTGAGATGGAGGTGAAAAGGTTTTTTGGAAATCAGAAGAAGAAACCCCCACCCCCAGCTTGATTGGTCAATCTATCGTACGTACGTCAGACCTCTGTGACGTGGGTTCACTGTCTGCATGTACATTCGTCAAAAGGAGAAGAAAAAAAAGACACTGTGTTTGCATGTCACATTAATGGATTCAATGCTTATCACCAATTAAAAGATCACTGTCGCAACCGAACCGCTCGCTAGCTAGCTGTACGTTGCTTTGAATGCTTATTGACGTAACTCAACAAGCATATATATGTTCTCTATTATAGTGAAGGAACCAGGCTCCCCTTATCCTCCAAGTTCAGTAAAGATATATAGATAAGAAGAAGAAGAAGAAGAAGAAGAAGAAGAAGAAGAAGAAGAAGATGGATTACCCTAAGGAAATAGGTGGACTGAGATGGAGGAAGACGTCGTCTCTTAAACCCATCAATGTTGGAGAAGCAAACGCACGCAAAGAAAGAGGAGAAGAAGAAGAGCTGTTAAGTCCAGCAGCTCGGTTGTTCCACGAGCCCAACTTCAATGTCTACATCATCGCCATTCTGGGTTGCAAGACCAGGATCGACCCCGATCTCGTCAGAGCTAAATTGCCCCACACTTTGCTCAAGCACCCTCGCTTCTCCAGTCTACAGGTGTATATATACTATTTCGCGAATAAAGATTTGGTCTAATGGTTCTACTTATTATTTGTGTTCAATCTTAAAGTCTTATATTGGAATCTCGATTTATACATATATAGATGTTTCTATCATACACCAGATATATATTGATAGTGTACGTGAAACACTAATAGTGTACGACAGATCTCAGAGTATGTCCGATGTAATGATAGAAGTCACCATATATATTAACTAGTTAGTGTAACTCAATCTTGCATGCATGGCTGCCACGTGCACGTTGCCGATGGAGCAGGTTTCGGTGGAGGGCGGAAAGGAGGAGAAACAAATGAAGTGGGTCCCGACGGCGGTCAACCTCGACAACCACGTGATAGTCCCCCCGGAGATCGACCAGTCAACCTTCGCCGGCGACGCTGACGCGGGGAAAAAGTTCGTGGAAGACTACATCTCCGACCTCACAAAGACCAAGATCGACGGCTCCAAGCAGCCGCTGTGGGACCTACACCTCCTCAACGTGAGGACGTCGGAGCCGGACGCGGAGGCCGTGGGGGTGTTCCGGATCCACCACTCGCTCGGCGACGGCGTGTCGCTCACTTCCCTGCTCCTCGCCTGCACGCGCCAGATCGCCGACCCGGACGCGCTCCCCACCATCCCGACCCCACGGAAGAAGAAGGAGGAAGGCCTATTAGCAGGTGGAGGGAGAAACGGCGGCGTCCTGGGTCGGGGGTTTTGGCGGGCGGTGGTGGCGGTGTGGACGGCGGCGGTGCTGATGTGGAACACGGCGGTGGATGTCGCGGCGTTCATTTTGACGGCGATTTGGGTGGAGGACACGAAGACGCCGCTCAAAGGCCCGCACGGGGTGGAGTTCCTGCCGAGGAGGTTTGTGTGGAAGACCATGAGCTTGGATGATTTCAAGCTCGTCAAAAATGCCATGAACGCGGTAAAATCTAGGCTGGCTCTTTTTCTTTTATTTGGTCAACATGAGATGAGAAGGGAAAATTTTATTGCTTCAAGGATTTAAATCATGGATTTGATAAAAAAAAAATCAATCATTATGGATTTACACACAATCCATTGTTTGCTTTATCAAAAAATGTTTAGATAAATCTGTGGCCCCCACAAATTTGGGATTTTTTTGCTCCAAATTCATGGGCCCCAGGTTTTATAAATCCCAACTCATACCCTGGGATTTAAAGACAAGCTGAAAAACCATCAATCTATGATAAAAATAGCTCAACAAACAAAGGATTTTCTCAAGCTCAAACTCCCTAATAAATCTCAAAGTTTTTAATTAGCAAATATATGACAAAATCCTCGTTATAAAATTCTTGAAGCAAATCATCCCTTAATTAAGGAACTAACTCTCAACGTAACTAACTGGATGCAGACCATAAATGATGTTGCTCTTGGAGCTACCCAAGCTGGGCTGTCACGCTACCTCAACAGAAAACTTGGTAAACCTATTCTAGCACTTTTTTTTTTACTTGGTTGTTGGCTCCAAAGTATGATTGATTGATTACTATGAATTTGTGTTATATAATTGATTGATTGTGTTTATAATATTATGCATTCAAATGTGTAAATCAATAATAGTGTTAGTTATTGGTCAGTATCCTCGTGTCTATATAAACAAGGTATGTGTATATCCATCGTCAAAGTCCATTTTGTAATATGAAAATCTTATTTGTATTATAAAATGACACAAAAAATCCTTAATAGATTAGCGATAATGATGACCGAAAACAAGTTCATTTTAAAAAAAAGTTGAACGATCCATTCCCTATAACTAGATTAGGCTGGATGCAAGTATGCATGCTCAAATCATTCATGTATGTTAATGCAGGAGGGAGAGAAAACGATGGAGAAAAGAACAACAGTCTCCCGGCAGGAAGCATTCGCCTCCGATCAACTTTGCTGGTGAACGTGAGACCGGGGCCAGGGATTCAGGCAATGGCGGACATGATGGAGAAAGATACAGAGGTTAAATGGGGGAACTGGATCGGCTTCATACTGCTTCCCTTCACCATCGGCATTCGAGATGACCCATTGGACTACGTCCGCCAGGCCAAAGCGGTCGTCGACAGAAAGAAGCGCTCCCTCGAAGCTCTCTTCACTTTCTCCATTGCCGAGTTCGTGCTCAAGCTCTTCGGGACCAGAAGGTCCAATGCTCTGTCCCACAGAATAATCACCAGGACGACACTGTGCTTCACAAATCTGGTTGGCCCGCTGGAGGAGATTGGGTATTATGGCCATCCTTTGGCTTTTCTCGCTCCCACCTCTTTCAACCAGCCACATGTGAGTTTCGTAGCTCGGAAGAATCAAATTCCAGCTAGCTAGCCCCTCGATCGATCGATAACTTGTTTGCTTGCTTAATTATGTGGATGATGTTAATGGTGCGTTCCGCAGGGACTGATGATCAACTTCCAGAGCTGTGTGGACAAGATGACGGTGGTACTGTCAGTGGATGAGAGCACCATTCCTGATCCGCACCAGCTATGCGATGATATTGTTCATTCGCTTGAGCTCATTAAGAATGCGGTCATATCTTCTCATGGGCTTTCTCAATCATGAAGTCTCTCTATATAATTAATAATAATCTTCATGTGAAACTTCCACTTGTCCTTCTAGATTAAGAATATTATATATGTATCCATGTCAAGGATCTATGTACTCCTGACAACAAATTATCATCAGAAATAATTGGCCTAATTCCCTGCTCTGCGGCTGGCCAAATGAGCCATGTCTTGATTTGTGATGGTTTGGAAAAATTAGCTATATTTTGTTTGCTCATGTTGGATCTTATATATTGGGTTAAAGTATTCCGCGCATAGTTTATTTCTAATCCAAACTACTTAAACCTAATTTTACTGAGAACTTTCATCGTATAAATAAAAATAATCAAAACACAGTAATGACGGCAGGTTTGAGAGTGGAGAAGCTGTCAACATAAAAAAAAAAAAAAAAATTATATCACTTTCTCAACATTGAATCTAGGTGAATGCAACAATTTGTAGAACAGGGCATATGCCTAAAGACTAAAAAGGTTAATGCAACAATTTTTACTATGGTTGCCAAAATTCAAAATGCTGTGAATATGGAGGATTTTTGTCATATTTTTTCTTGCAACACATTATACAACGGTATATCCAAAATCCTAACAATTAGGCTGGCATACTACAGTGATAAGTGGCTCTCAATCTGTTTTTTTTTCCCGTAGTAGGTCTATTAGTGATAATATTTAATTGGCAACTGAACTTGTAAAAGACTACTACAAAGCTTCTATTACCTCTAGTTGTACTGTAAAAAATGACATTATGAAAATATTTGATTCAGTGAGCTTGAGTTTTTTTATTTCTTGTGTTATCAGGCATGGGTTTCCAAAAAAATTCTTGAGTTTGCTTAGAGTTTGTATCACTTCCCCTATGATCAATATAGCTTTGAAGGTGGATTATGCGGGTTTTTTTTTTATCTACTATGATGAAAGGATTGTATCCTTACCTATTTTCCATAGTCATGGAATGTTTTGATGTTTTGACGAAGAAGACAGTGTGTGAGAGCCAAATTCCTTTCCATCCTATTCGTAAGCATCTTCACATTACTCATCTATGTTTAGCCGATGAGCTTTTAGTCCTTTCAAATGGATCTATAAGGGTTGTGATAGGAATAGTTAGGCTACTTGATGGATTCTATTTAGTATCAAGGCTTAAATGCAATCCAGCCAAATGCCAACTATTTTATATATGCTGGTATACCACAAGAAGAGCAGGAAATGATATCTGATTACTCTGGTTTCCCACTAGAGATCTGCTTATGAGATATGTTGGGGTTTTCCTAATCACATGGAAGTTGACAAGGGGTGATTGCAGAGTATTGATCAATAAATCACACAGAGGGTCCAAAGTCGGAGGTCAAAATTTCTTAAGTTTGCAGAAAATTATAGCTTGTCTCATATGTTATTACTAACATTCTACAATACTCAATGAGCTTGTTCCTCCTTCCACATTATATCATTAAAGAAGTGGAAAGATATGTAACAATTTTGTGTGGGAGGTGAGTGAGACTAGTCTGAGATGTGGCTGGGTTCATTAGTGATTCAATTTGATAGGAATGGAGGAAACGCAGCGCATTGGACATTTTTTTGTTAAATTATTTTATATGTCTAATTTTTTTGTGACACGCCATTTATGTTGCCTATTGCCAAATTATAAATAGTATATTTTCAAAGGAAAAATATGCATTTTAGGTGATATATACAAAAGAGCCACGTACGTAAACTTTTTTTATGTGATGGAAAATTAATTTTCGCCCCAAAAAATGTCACTAAAACTATAATTTCATGTAGTGGGGAGTGGTGGCTTGGAATTTCCTAGCGAAGCCAAAGAAAGAAGGAGGATTGGGTGGTAGGAACTTCACCATGTGTAATAAAGCATGCATAACAAAGACATCTTTGGGATATCTTGGATTCAAGGAGCTTTCAATGGGTAGCCCGGATCAAGAGGTACGTACCAAAATACAAAACCACTTGGGATGTAGAAGCAGCTACAACAGGGTCTTGAATTTGAAGAAGGGTTATAAAATTTCGAGGGTTGGCTAGATCCTTAATAACGGGTGAAATTAGTACGCTGAAGTGGGATGGTTATCATATGGCAAAGTAATCTATGAAGAGAGTATGGGATTCCTATAGAGTTAACGATCTAAAAGTAAACTGAGATAAGCTAGCTAGTATGGAGTAGATAGATTGTCCCCGAGCATGGGTTTATTCTTTGGCTTGCAATCCATAATAGGTTGAAGACTCACCATAAACTACTTGATTGGGGAAATTTGTGATTAGACTATGTTTTCTTTGCAATGGTGGAACAGAGTCTAGAAACCACCTGTTGGTGACATGCCCCTTATATGTAGTATATAAGGGGGAGTTGTTTGCGGGATAAGGCTCCTCTAGTTCACGTAAATGATTGGGACTACTTGGTGCATTGGTGTGTGAGGTAAGAATGATGGTTCTGATTTAGTTGCTGTTTCCAGAGTGATCTGGAGCTTGGCTGTTAGATTAGTGTGGAGGGAGCGTAGCTCTAAGATGTATGGCTCTGTTTGTCTCAACTCTCCATATTTAGTCGAGTACTGACATTCAGCAAATTATGAGGTACAGAGCTTCAAAAGACCTGAATTTAAGAGAAAGTATGGTCAGGCTGGGAATTGATTGAAATTAAGAGAAAGTATGGCCAGGCTTTGGGTTGTTGTGCTTAATGAAATTTGATTCAACCAGAAGAAAAATATAGAATCTAGGTTGAAGGGGATATTAGGGGTGGGAAAATAGTCTCGATTATTCAGCCAAACCTGAAATCATATCATAACTCCCGGTCTTGTTGAAACCATGAATGATTTGCAATGATGGTATGGTCTAGTACATGGGGTAGGAAAGGCTTAAATTTCGATTTTGGTTCTGTCTTATTTAAAATCGTAAAAGAGCCAGTAATTCAGGATAGACAACAACTTTGGTCTCATCCAGAAAATCAGGATAGACGACTACATCAGTCTTATCCAGAACTAGATATGGTTCAGTGCACCAAAAGACCAAGAGGCTCCACGTCTCCTCGCCAATTGATAACACGTAAAATAAGTGTTGTTGGTCTTTCTTATCTAAGTGTTCTTGTGACCTAATTGAGTTTAATTTATCCTTAAACATTGCATTTTAGCCTAGGATTATTTCATAGGGGATGCGAACAGGTTTAGGAATGTAATGTGATGGTTTAAGTGAATTGGAGTTTAGTTTGGATAATTAATATAGGAATGAGCAAGAAATGGAGGTCTTTAGCAGAAAGATCATGATTAAGATTGGTTGTGATTTGAGTTCACACGAGTTGCGGATATTTAGGACTGTGATCTTTGAGATTAGGCCATGAACTCTAGCAGTAAGAGATCTGAAAGAAGCAACCAGTCTGACAGTCTGCCTAACTTTGAGATCACGAGTATTTTTCCTCAAGAGATTGAATGCCTCAACAAATTTTCATTGTCTTCAAGATCTTTGATATATGGGGTATAGAATTCATGGACCCATTTTACTCGTCATTCAGTTGCGTACACATTTTGGTAGTTGTAGATTAGTTCCTCGAGAAATTTTTTTCTCTATTTGGCACAATTAAAGAAATTATTAGATAGAGAGGTACCCACTTCCAAGTTCAATTTGACTAGCTCCTTAGTTGCTATGGTGTTCATCACAAGGTGTCTATGTCATATCATCTATAAACCAGTGGTCAAGGAGAGCTCACGAACAAAGAGTTGAAGAGGATTCTTGAGACTACTGAAAACTAAGCACAAAAGGATTGGTTGACTTAGCTTGATGATGTCCTCTATGCATACAAGCCGGCGTACAATCCCCGATAGGGGCCTCTCTTTACCAGTTTATGTAGGGAAGAGTTGTCACCATCTAGTGGAGCTTGAGCACCAAAAATATTTGTAAATCAAGTTCCTAAATTTTGATGAAAGGTTGACTGGTTAAGACAGGCAACTCCAGTTACTCAAATTAGAAGAGTGGCACCATGAAAATACGAAATTACACAAAGAAAGAACGAACCAGCTTCATGATGCAGGTTAGGAGATACAAATGTCTTCAAAGAAGGAGATCAGGTGTTGTTTTACAATTCAAGACTTTGATTGTTTCTCGAGAAGCTGAAATCATGATGGTATGGACCATTCGTGATTACTCAAGTGTTGCCATATAAGCTGGTGTAAGTCTTGAATCCCGAGAGGGGTAGATTTAAAATCAACTGTCATCGCCTAATTATCTATCTCAAATGTCATATTAACCCATCAGTCGTAGTAATATATCTCGAGTCTTCTCAGCATTCTCCCAAGCTTTGTCTAGCTTATCATTGTTGAATAAGCATGTCTTTATGGCAATGATGAACTTGATTTTCCATGAATACCTTGAAAATTTTCTCACCGTATTCATTGATGATATTTTGGTTTATTCGAAGAATAAAGAGGAGCATGCAAAATATCTTAGAGTGGTGTTACAAACTTTTTAAGAAAATAAGTTATATGAAAAATTCTAGAAGTGTTCATTTTGGCTTCAAGATGTATTATTCTTGGGGAACCTAATATCCAGGAGGAGAGTAAAAGTGGATCGAAAGAGGGTTGAAGTTGTTTTGAATTGGGCTCCACCAAAGGGTGTGTCTGAACTTTGAAATACAAAGCTTTTTTAGGTTAGTGGGTACGCACCTCCACTCATTTTCTTCACTTCACAACCAAAGATTGATTTAATGATTTAGTATCTCTTCCAGTATAGCATAAAGAAAACTAAAGATTTCTCTCCCACTTATCTTTCCACTTCTCGTGAGTGAGTGGACAGTTTTCCTGGTGTAGCACCGTCGTTAAGGATTGAGCAATCGTGCTCCGCTGGTGATGGCTTTCTTTCCTCCATAGAGGGATTAAAACCACATCATGGGTTGGATATTCTCATAATTCCAAGACACAATTGAGATAAGTGATTTCTTGTTCATTCTAGTGGTTCTATGTTCATATGAATTATTATTTCAAAGGCCTTCAAGAACTACCATTACAAGGGATTGCTTTAAGCTTTTTCTTGACGAGAAGAATACACTGAAACAATCCCTTAAGTTGGTGGGAGGATCTCTTTAACAGCATACCATTGACATCACTCCAAACATCAGCTATA